ATTGTGTTTTTATTGTAGTTAACCAAAGTAATGTGTGTTTAATTGAGTTACAGGAACAGGAACCAGGACTCAGCACAGTAATCAGGTAAAATACTGTGTGCGCTCAATCTGTCTGTCTGCAAAAAACTTTTTTACAATTTTACAACAGATTCTCAGTGCTCTAGTACTTTTTCAATGTAACATCAGGAGAATACATTACATAAATACATTTTCATATTAGTGACATGTTATGCGGTGTTATTAGTATCATTTAGTATCTTTGTTTCCATCATTTTTTAAATTTTCCATTTAGTTTTTGTTGTTTTTATTATATAGCTTACAGTTATATATATATATATATATACATATGTATAGATGTGTGTGTGTGTATATATATATATACATATGTATGTGTGTGTGTGTATGGAAATCTCTAATAAAAACAAAGATAATTGCACATCTTAATATCAAAGTGCATTATATTACATTCTTTTAAAAATCTGGGCAAAAAGCAGTAAATTATCTCATGAAGCACTGTAAAATGTAATTAGTAACTGCTAAAAAAAAACACTTTCTTAATCAGAATTTATGTATTTTTTCAGTAAAAATCTAAATACCTTTAAAACAAGATTTTTCCCTTTTTAAAGCATAAAATCTTACAAAAAAGAAAAAAGAAAAAGAAAGGCAAAGAACTCAAGATATATTCTCTTCAAAACAATCTAGCTTCTCAACCAAATACTCTTGATTAAAGAATATATATTTTGTTGCAAAAATTCTGATTAAGAATATGATTTTCGCACCACAAGTGTACATATTAATAAGACTAATACTGAAAGGTAAGTGCAAAAAAAGGATTTGCAAAGGAAAACTTGATGAAAATAAGTAAAATTAAAATCTTCTAAATATAAAAATAACACAGCCAGCCTTAATTCTCCACTGACAAATTCAATATGGACTTTCATGAAGCTGATGTTTTATAAGGGATTTATGACCAACAATGTGTAGTTTTTCAAAACACTACCATCCAGGTCATTTAGGTATAAAACATGATTAAAAACATACATTTAAAGTATCATAAATCTATAATTCTTTCCATGGAATGGTATTATTGTTTACAATCATCCATTCATATACACAAAAATGTCCCCACCAACTGCATAAGCACCTGTGCAAATTAAACAGTAACTGTGCAAATGATTTCTCATACACAGGGACACAGAATAAGAATCTCCGACTGAAACACTTTGAAGGGATGAAAACTGGCATAAGATTTCACAAAAAAAAAAAAACCCAAAAAAACCTGAAACAACAGAATACTGCGAATCACATTTCAATTGCATTCACTGCCATTCAATAGTTTAGAGTCGGTAATATGCTTTTGAAAGAAGTCTCTTCAGCTTCTCCAAAGCTGCATTTATTTGATCAAAAATACAGTAAAAATGTGAAATATTATTGCAAATTAAAACAGTTGTTTTCTATGTGAATATATGTTAAAATCGAATTTATTTCTGTGGTGTGCAGCTGTATTTTCAGCATCATTACTCCAGTCTTCAGTGTCACATGATCTTCAGAAATCATTCTAATATGCTGATTTGCTGCTCTAGAAACATTTCTGATTATTATCAATGTTGAAAACAGTTGTGCTGCCCAATATTTTTGTGGAAACTGATACATTTGATTTTTGAGGTTTCGCAGATGAATAGAAAGTTTAAAAGAACAGCATTTATTTGAAATATAAATCATGTTGAAAACAGTTGTGCTGCCCAATATTTTTGTGGAAACTGATACATTTGATTTTTGAGGTTTCGCAGATGAATAGAAAGTTTAAAAGAACAGCATTTATTTGAAATATAAATCTGTTTCAACATTATAAATGTCTTTACTGTCACTTTTGATCAATTTAATGCATCCTTGCTGAATAAAAGTATTACTTTTTAAAAAATATACTGACCCCAAACATTTAAATGGCATGTGTTTAATCAGATTTGATCAATTATATGAAGACTGCTAGTGTTGCATAAATGAACGCAGAACTAATGAGTTAATATTATATGCAAAAATGACATATTATGTGCATGAGAACTAAATGCTGTAATGCAGATTGATTTATTTTCCCTAACTTCTCAGAACCTGTTCAAATAATCTTTTAAAATGAATCTATATATTGTCTTCCAAGTTCACGAAAGCTATACCTGCATGAAAATGTTCAAAATGTGTGTGAGAAGAATACATAAGAAGACCTTAATAATCTTCAAAATATAAAAGATAAATGTGTTGCAGTTAAAGGGATAGTTCACACAGTCCTGCCATTATTTACTCCCCCTGTATGATGTTACTGGTCTCAGTGGACACACAAAATATGACATTTTAAGAACCAGTATGCATTTTTTTATTTACACAAACCGTCAATCTCCAAATAAAAGCATACAGGTTCGTGTGAGCGTGAGTAAATAGTTTTGGGTGAACAATCACTTTAAAGGAATAGTTCGCGCAAAAAAATGAGAATTTGCCGAAAATGTACTCACCCTCAGGCCATCCAATATACAGTATGTAGATGATTTTGTTTCTTCATCAGATTTGGAGAAATGCAATGGATCCTCTGCAGTGAATGGGTGCCGTCAGAATGAGAGTCCAAACAGCTGATAAAAACACCACAATAATCCACAAGTAATCCACACCAGTCCAGTCCATCAGTTAATGTCTTGAGAAGCCATAAGAAACAAAAGAAACCATTGCTTCCAGCTAAAATACAAATCCATACTCCATTATAAACCATTTCCTCCAGTGAAAAAGTGTTCTGGTCTGAATCAGGAGGGAAATCTGCACAGATCAAGCAGCGTTTACAAGCCAAAACAGCTCTAAACAAATATGTGGCAGGATTTTGATGTGAGAGACAACAGGAGATTTTCAACGGAGGAAGCGTTATTATGGATTATGGACTCATATTTTAGCCAGAAGCTATGGTTTAAAGTTAAAAACGTCTTAATGATGGATTTGTTGCAGCTTTTCACTTCTCGAGACATTAACTGATGAACTGGTGTGGATTACTTGTGGATTATTGTGATGTTTTTATCAGCTGTTTGGACTCTCATTCTGACGGCACCCATTCACTGCAGAGCATCCATTGCTGAGACACTGATGCAATGCTACATTTCTCCAAATATGATGAACAAACAAACTCATCCTAATCTTGGATGACCTGAGAGTGAGCACATTTTCAGCAAATTTTCATTTTTTAGGTAAACTATTCCTTTAATCTACTATACTGGAAATGTAAAAAAAAAAAACCTTGACATCTTTCATATATCAGATGTGTAATGCTTACGACCCTTTTGAAGAACTTCCATCATGCAAAACCTTCCGCTCGGTGGTCTTTGAATCAGGAAGAATGGCCTCAAAGTCTTCAGACGGCTGAGATCAGTGGTCCAGTCTGATATAAAACACAAGCAGTCTGTGCGGAGCTCAGCGGTCACTATCTCCAGTGGTCTTTCAAGGCCAGCGCGGCGAAGACCAGCAGCAGCAGCAGCAGGTTGGGCTGGATGATGGAAGCAGAAGATGTTTCATCTGTTTTCTCTGCTTCCTGAACGGGAGCATCAGTGATGAAGGAGTCTGATTCAGTGACACACGTCTCAGTGCAGCCGCTGCCGCTGCCAGAAGCACTGCTCTCGTCATCTGAGGCGCAACAAAATATGAGTTATGCATCCAAAATAAATATATCTGACTTCATGCAACTACCCTGAAGCAGACTTTATGCCAAAAGTCAAAGTTTTGGCAATGCAAGACTATTAATGCCCTTTGGAAACTACAATGAAAGCAGTGACGATTGCATTAAGATGATGCATGCATAAAATCTAATCAAAATATTGTTTGATCGAGTTTATCTAAGCACAGATAATTAATTGCATTCCACTCTTGTTTTAAGTTCATTATTTTAATCAATAATGGTGTTAAATATATCTGTCCATTCAGAACAAATCCATGCAATAAATCATATATCTGATATTCTATAATTAAACAGGTTTAATACTGCTAATCAGCAAAATAAGTTTAAAATACTTATACTATGTATATATTAAATAAAACGCCTTATGAATTAAAATTGGTTAATTAGGTACATATGTTTTGAAAATACTAATATATACTATTATATCAATACATATGAATTAGAGGTTTATTTGATTTGCTGATAAAATAATGATGTGTTTACATAAACAGATAATTGTGCTGATATTGTGTGAAATCTATATATTTTGTGTGTTAAATAATGTTCTTAGTTTCCTTCCAATGACAGGGTGACTTGGAGAGAAGAGTTTAATGTTTAATTAAATACCAGATACAGTTTATTATGCAACCGAAATACCAGTAATAACCAGAAAAAAACTGAAGAAATACACCAGGACTCTTATTTTGAAATGTCTGTGCATTAATACTCCCAGATCATTCAAAAAGATGAGGGAGATAAAATATGCACTTTACAATCATCGACAACATATTAGAAAATAAAAACAAAGTAAATATTATTATAATTCATCAACAGTATATCATAAGTACTCGTTTGTCATAAATTGTGATCTGCTCTGAATATGTGAGTCTGTAGAATGTGCCACATTTTGATTTTGAACATGCATATTTATTATTTAATGAAATCATCGCCTTGTGAAGCTTTATAATCACATTAGGCCATATCATAGTCCTCGTTTTTTCCATCCCCAACTTTAAGACCTCATTACATGATAATGACTTTTGTTATAACATTTAAACTATTTAAGACTTGCTATCACCTTAAAGTTGATCAAACTGGATTTAAGACCGCTTACCTATTTCACTGAAGTTTCTTTAACATTTAGCTTTTGTCTGTAAATACTGGAAAACTACAGTTCTGGGCTCGGTTAGTTATTTTCATCAAGTAACTTCTTTAGCAGTGCAGACATCAAATCTGAGCGTGCCATTATTAAATTATTATTAAAACACACCGTGACTTACTTGAGTCCTGAAAGTAGATGTCATTGCCATCAAAAGCGTTCTTGAGTTTGTTGGTCATCACCTTGAGAGCCATTATCTGCTGTCGAATCAGAGTGTCCGGTCTGGAAATGTCCACGCCCACCTCCGGGTTCTTCGCTTGATTGGTCAGTCCGTCTTTCAGCACCTCAGGGACGTATCTGGAGAGAAAAAAGAAAAAAAACTCAGTTGTTGTGCAAATACAATGCATTAATTAAATTTTTTTGACTATCGGAAATCCATATATAATGCAGCGTAAATAATCATATAAACATGTCAGACTAACTCCGGTGCATACACATTATACCAGTGTTATTGTAATATTGTGTGTATAATATTATAGCTTTTTTAAATTAATATTTTAAATTAGCTTTTATTTGTACATTTTCGGTTTTCATTTGAATTTATTTTTTACAAGTTTTATTTATTATGTGGTTTTGTCATTTTTATTATTTTCGTTTTTATTTACTTGTTTGTTTGTTTTTTTTTTAGGTTTATTTTCATTTCAGTTTTAGCTTTTAATTTCCATTTAGTAATTTTAGCACTTGAACTTATTTCAGTTAGTTCCAAAGGCAACTTTTTAAAAAATCATTTTATAATATAATATAATATAACATAGTATAATATAATATAATATAATATAATATAATATAATATAATAATGCAGTATTTATAATTAAATTAAATTTAATATAATAATGCAGTATTTATAATATAATATAATATAATAATGCAGTATTTATTAAACTGTATAATAATTATATTTAATTAATATTCCCAAATTTGATCTCACAAGTGTCTCCCCATGAGAACGGTATCCAATAATGGAAAACAAATTTCAGCACTCCAACTAGTTAAAGGGGTCATATAATAATTTTCAAAAATAATAATTTTTAATAATACATATTTTTTAAATAGTCTTTTTTCACTAGAGATGAGGTTTTGGGTTCAAAAAGTTTCAGTATGTTTCAGAGTACAATAAACTGTTTTAAAAACAAACAAATAAGGAGATCATTGAGAAGAGCATCTCCAGATCTTCTTCATAAGAGCTGTGCTCTGTCTGCCATAGTACAAGGTAGATGTGTAAACTGTCTCGACCTATTGTGCAAGGACTCCACACATCCACAGCTGTGCAGATGCTTGATTCCAGATGTTTTACCTGCCCTTGTCGTGTCCGTTCCAGCAGTCGTCCACAGCGCTCTCTGCAGCCGCCACATGCTCCTCCTGACAGAAGGCCTCAGGAAGTGAAGACCAGAACTTCCTGAACTTCTTCAGCTTCTCCTTGACGTCAGTCACCTGGAGGATGGCATAAAGACGACCGCTAAAACAACTGTACTGTAAGCCATTGAACAATTCTTTATCATGACTACTTTTAAGATTTTAGAATAACAGCACCATGAAAACTATGGAAACTTGGAATTAACGTAAATGGCAAATCATGTAAATCTGTAAGTTATTTATTCGACTCAAAAACCTTAAATGAAAACTTCATATTTTATAAATAAAGATTTATTAGTTTACAAAAAGTGTTTCAAGCATTTCAGCAGAAGCCTTTATAAGACGATATTTGAAGGCCCATTAATATATTTGTGCTACTTCTGTTGTAATGTTAAAGCTTCTCGTTTTTATTTACAGACACTAGGAGTGTCAATATTTTACAAAAATTAAATAATTAAAATAATTAAATTCCAGAAGTTTCAATTACGCCTGTTTCACACATACTCCGTCTGCATGTCACTTTAATTCAGCGCGTGCAGCACAGCAAAAATAGACTCGGTGCGTAAACGATCGCTGCACTGCTGCAGACGCGCCGCACCTGGAACGCACTGACGGACCACAACCGCGTGCTGTGTGAACGCTCTGATCCGTTAACATGGGTGCGTAAAAAAAAACGCAACGCACATGCACTGCAGACGGAGTATGTGTGAAACAGGCGTTAGTGTTATTTTAGTATAATTGAAAAAAAAAAAAAACTGTAATAGATTTATTAATAGTTTCAATTAGTTTCCCATTTCCATTTTCATTTTAATTGATTTTGTTGTGTTTTTCTCACTTTAGTTATTTTTCTTAGTAATCAAGTTAAACTACATTAAAATGAGAAATATTGCCTTGGCAACTAGATTAAATAAAATAAATATTTTTATGTAAGTATTTTACTATTATTTTAAACAAACAACAAAAATAAAAAAACAACATATATAAAATAACATAATATAAAAATAAAACAATTTTCATTAATTTTTGTTTGATTTCAAGTACCTGATATGTTATGAAATGTTTTCATTCGTTAAAAAAAAATCATTATGAAATAAACATTTCTATGAAATAACTTTTCCAGGTCTAGAAAACACTTTTAAAGTTCCCCTCATACAGTATATCCAAGTTTTCAAAGACCATTTCTTGAAGAATTCAGTAAAGTCAGTGTCCAACATTTTGACCGATCCTGTAGCTAGTAAATGAAAAGGTCCCTCATTATTCAGGTTTCATTTTCATTAAAGAATGATCTTAAAGGGGTCATATGATGTTGCTAAAAAGAACATTATTTTGTGTATTTGGTGTAATGAAATGTGTTTATGTGGTTTAACGTTAAAAAAACACATTATTTTCCACATACTGTACATTATTGTTTCTCCTCTATGCCCCGCCTTTTTGAAACGCGTCGATTTTTACAAAGCTCATCGGTCTGAAAAAGCGAGGTGTGCTATGATTGGTCAGCTATCCAGTGCGTTGTGATTGGCCGAATACCTCAAGCGTGTGACGGAAATGTTACGCCCCTCACCATACTGTTGTATTCCCTCAGCGACCAGCACGGATCAGCTCCAGGCATGACGAAGCGGATATCGTCCTCTTTTGGAAGACCAAACAAAGTAGTTTCGCTTTCACAACGAAGCACACAGCGCCTTCACGACATGGCGGCGGCAACAA